TCTCCTTCTCGGCCTTCTCGAGGTCGGCCAGCTTGCTCGTCGTTGACACCTTGACGCGAGCGCCAAAGATCTTGATCTTGTCTGTGTCCATAGAGGTGTTGGCGACCAGGATCTTGGCCTTCTCGAGGCGCTTGGGCTGGTTCACACCAATCTTCTTGTCGAGAATGAAACCCTCGTCGAGGTACGAGTCGCTCAACTTGCCACCGGCCTTCTTGATGATTTGGATATGGCTCAGATCGGAGGAGTTCTTGAGTCGCAGCACGGCATCGCAGGCGAGCTTAGAGAAGTGGTCGCGGTCCTGGGCCAGGACCTTGGAGCTGAGGGTTGTGCGGGCAATGGCCTGCAGGTCTTTTCTGAATGCCTCGGGAGTGTTGCTGCGGTCGACGGCTGACTCCTTCAGGGCCTTGAGGGCGGCCTGGCTTGCTATCCGGTATCCCTCGATAATGGTCTGGGGGTGGATCTTCTTGTCGACGAGCTTCTCAGCTTCGCGCAGAAGCTCCGCCGCAAGGACGGCAACGGAGGTGGTACCATCACCGACCTCATCGTCCTGGACCTTGGAGATGTTCACCAGCACCTTGGCCGCCGCGTTGTCGAGGGCAATAGACTTCAGAATGGTAGCGCCGTCGTTCGTGACCATGATTTCGCCAGTCGATCTGGACGTTTGTCAGCCATGTCAGTGGATCAAGGCGGTAAATGGGGGGTTATTGAATTTGGCGGGGTTCAACATACGCAGACTGCAGAATCTTGTCCATACCCTTGGGGCCGAGGGTGCTCTTAACGAGGTCGCCGACGGCGATGGCGCCAACGAAGGCGGAGAGACGGGCATTCTCTCCCTTCTCCTCGGTAGTTCCGTCCTCGAAGATTTGTGTCGGGCTGAAGGACGACTGGAGGGGCACATAGTTGTTAGCATCTTGGGCCACATCCAAGGGGGTATAGGTGTTTGAGACGAACCATGATGAATGTGTATTATGCAGACACTCTGTATCGAAAGTCGAATCGGCGACTGGGTGAGTGGGGGGGAAAGCAAAGGTATTTGGGTTGTACGGAATCCTCAGCCTTGGGAGAGCTTCACCGAGAAAATCGTCGTAGAAAATTTGGGGGGGTTCAGCCTGGCGAAGTGGGGTGTGCTGGGCAGGAGCTTCCAGGCAGTGTGGTCAGCGAAGCAGAGCTGCTGTGGTGTTTCTACAGACGTCCATCCTCCACTGTAGCAATTACTAGTGGTCAGTGCGCGCTACCGGTCATGGCAGCAATTGGGCACCTGGCGGGGTACATCTTATGGCGGGAGCTTAGGATCTCTAGGCGGTAAGAGACCTGACCCTGGAGCAGTCCGATTGGGAAAGTGTACCTGACGGTGACGACCGGCAGAATCCACACGTGACCCTCCTAGAAGTGGCCGTTGCGACGAGGTATCGCAGTACCTTCCTTAAGGACCCAAGGCCCCAGGCAGTAGCGAGGGGCTCTCTCCGGGGCCGGAACAACCGAATAATCCAGCCCACACGAAAGTGCCATATCACCAAAAACTTTCCAAAACGAGGTCCAAATTGTGTGCGCGATAGTTGTTTGGTCCCCTTTGCCACCCCTGTAGAACTTCCCTTCAAGACATGAAATCCATTCAGTCAATAAGCCGCTAGCATCCAAATCTCCAGAGCCGTTTCATAGAGTTTGCACCGAATTTGCCCTGCACCCAGAGCCACATTGAAGCGCTCCGCAAGCCGAAAACCCTCACAAAAAAACCGAGAAAATCGCGGGGCACTTTTCAACCACTGGAAAGCCACCCAGACCCCACTCTATTTGGCACCTCTTTTTTTCCTCCCACCACAGAAAGGCCATCGCAACGCTTCCTCACCGAGAGACACGCACCCCCTTCCCCTTCCGTCCCCCGATCCGAAGAATTCACAACCGCCACACCTCGACTGTTGACTGATCCAGTCGTCGCAATCATGGCGCCTTCTTTCGACCATCTGCGCGAGGCAGATCTCGACGACGACGAGTACGATGAGGAGGAGATCGACATCTCCGACCTGCGCGAGAAGTACGAGGTCCAGCTGGAGCAGGGATACGACACCTTCGTGGTCATCGATGGCCTTCCCGAAGTCAACGAGAGCTGGAGCAGGGATACGACACCTTCGTGGTCATCGATGGCCTTCCCGAAGTCAACGAGGACCAGAAGCCCAAGCTGGTCAAGTTCTTGCTGAAGAAGCTGAACTCTGTCGGAAAGACGAGAGAGGACCTGATTTACATGCCCATGGGCGACAATGGAAAGTCGCTGAGGTACGTTTGGCCCAGTGGATCCCCATCTCGGATCTGACCCAAAGAGATGGAGATCGCGCTCGAGACAAAACAGCGATGCTGACCATGACCGCTCAGATTTGCCTTTGTCGAGTACTCCTCCCCCAGCGAAGCCGCCGCTGCCGTTCGTGGACTCGACCAGGTCCCTCTCGACAAGAAGCACACCCTCCGCGTCAACAAGCTCACCGATGTCGACCGCTACGGCCGCGAAGGCAAGGTCCACGAGGAGTACACCCCGCCTCACATTGAGGAGTTCACCGAGACCGAGCACCTGAGATCATTCATGAAGGACCCTAGCGGACGTGGAAGAGACCAGTTCGCCATGTACCGCGGTGACACCGTTGGCGTCTTCTGGAACAACGAGAAGGACGTCCCCGAGAACGTTGTTGACCGTCAAAACTGGACAGACAGCTTCATCCGGTGGTCACCACAGGGAACCTACCTCACCTCGGTCCATGCCCAGGGTGTTCAGACTTGGGGTGGCCCGTCATGGTCAAGGCAGAAGCGTTTCCCCCACCCCTTCGTCACCTTTGTCGACTGGTCTCCTTCCGAGAAGTACCTGGTGACATGGTCTGCTCGCCCCATCTCCATCCCCGACGAGGGCCACCCGGCCTTGTCTGTCGATGATGATGGCAAGAACTACGTTATCTGGAGTGTCGAGTCTGGCAAGCCCATTCGTTCCTTCGCCAACCTGGATATGGAGGGTATGGACGAGGCAAAGCAGCGCAAGCTGCTCTGGCCCGCTTTCAAGTGGTCCGCCGATGACAAGTACGTCGCGCGTCTCAACTACCAGACCGGTATCTCCGTCTACGAGCTCCCCCGCATGAACCTCCTCGACAAGACTTCCATTAAGATCGAGGGTATCATGGAGTTCGACTGGGCCCCGGCTAGCGTCCAAAGAGAAGGTATCAAGACATACGAGCAGCTTCTTACCTACTGGACACCCGAAATTGGCAGCAACCCCGCCAAGGTTGGTCTTATGAGCATCCCCAGCAAGGAGGTTGTCCGTCAACTGCCCCTCTTCAGCGTCTCTGACGCCAAGCTCCACTGGCAATCCGATGCCTCATACCTCTGCGTCAAGGTCGACCGTCATTCCAAGTCCAAGAAGTCCCAGGCCACCACTCTCGAGATCTTCCGCATCAAGGAGAAGGGCGTTCCTGTCGAGGTTGTCGACACCATCAAGGACACAGTCATTAACTTTGCCTGGGAGCCCAAGGGTGACAGGTTCGTCATCATCACGACAACGGAGCCCGTCGGCGCTGTCGCCGTCGCCCCCAAGACCTCCGTCTCCTTCTTCTGCCCCGAGAAGGCCAAGGGCAACGTCGTTGGCAACTTCAAGCACCTCCGCACCCTGGAGAAGAAGAACAGCAACGCCATCTACTGGTCCCCCCGCGGTAGATTCGTCGTTATCGCCACCGTCCACAACCAGCAGAGCTCCGACCTTGACTTCTTCGACCTCGACTTTGAGGGTGAGAAGCCCGAGTCAGACAAGGACCTGACCGCCAACCTCCAGCTCATGAACACTGGTGACCACTACGGTGTCACCGACATTGAGTGGGACCCCTCAGGACGTTTCGTCGCCACCTGGGCCTCCGCCTGGAAGCACTCTGTATGTGATCATGCTTTTTCCCCTGACTGAATGAATGCAAGTACTAACGAAACGGACTATAGATGGAAAACGGATACCACATCTACGACTTCAAGGGTGAGGCTCTCCGCGAGGAGCCCATCGAGAAGTTCAAGCAGCTCGCGTGGCGCCCTCGCCCCCCGACGCTGCTCACCAAGGAGGAGCAGAAGCAGATCCGCAAGAACCTGCGCGAGTACAGCCGCGTCTTCGAGCAGGAGGATATGGACCGTGGTGCTTCTGCCGACCGCGAGGTCGTCGAGGCCCGCCGTCGCCATCTCGCCGAGTGGGTCGCCTGGCGCGAGTCTATCGAGGAGGAGGTCGCCGAGGAGCGCAAGGACCTCGGCTTGCCCTTGGACATTGTCGCCTACCTCCTCTCCCAGAAGACGCAGACCAGCGAGGGCGAGGAGCAGATCATTGAGGAGATTGTGGAGGAGGTTCTCGAGGAGACGGAGGAGATTGTCAACTAAAAGGGTTAGTCAAGGCAAGAGATGACACATGAAGAGGCTGGGTGATTTTTTTTTCGTTGTGTTTTTTAGATGAGGACGGAAGCAAACCAGCCATCGTCCGCCCACAAGTTGTCGTCGCAGTTCCTGGAAAAGTAGCCAAAAAGGGGGGCCATGATGAGGAGTGAAAAGTCTAAAGGGGGCCCGTCACAACAAGCCTTTCCCAGTTGTTTTCCCATTTGGGCGGTTAGGTGAGGTTGGGGCATCTGCACAGGAAGGTTAATTCACGGATTTGAAGACACACGTAATGCGTGATGCTTGTGAGTGCAACTGAAGTCAAGCTGTTCATGATGTCCATCGTGACTAAATGTTTTTTTGCGGTATCTCGGTGATGGCATATACGACGATGCAGCCCAAGATATTTATTCTGCTTGATGCGCGAGATGGACGATACTCTTGTAGAGCCAATGGTAATCGAACACTGCATAGATAAGATCGAAGGATATCTCAGCTCAGATGAAGTCTTTGACCGTTTGCCTTGCAACAGACCCTCATAGTCCTTGCAAAGCTACGTCACAGTAGCGCTGTCACGATTGTCTCACTATCATTCTGGACCTTGGACGCAGATTCAAGTTGTAATGCTAGTACACACGGGTTCTTCTACAATACGACTATGATACGAATGGGATATCAAAGAGGTGATCGACACCTCTGGAAAGAAAAAAATAAGCCATGAACCCCGCCCGGTTCAAGAAAAGAAAGCAAGATGCGGATCGCTAGCGACGCCAGAAAATGTTTGATGCTAAACTCCAACCCCTGGGTCGTCTGTCTTACGGGGTAAACGATGTGCCCCAACACGACGACGCTGTAGAACCAATACAGGTTATATCCTCTATCCGGGATCGTCTCTCGTCCCAGGAGAAACATGAACATTGGTTTATCCGCAGGAAAAGCCGGGCCTGCCATGTTCCGCATGGTCAAGTTCCTCGGCGTCCAGCGTCTGTATATCTACATGCCACAATAAGAATGTCTGTCCTTGTCCATGAGGATGCTCGCGCACTGCGAAACATCCAGGCGACAGATGAGAATAGTATATATCCCTCCCAGGCAAAGAGACGAAAGAAAACAACAAAAAAGGTTGCTACAAAAAACCAGCTCCCACAGGTAATGTCCATCGCGCCGCGGACGCCGGTTGCTCTTTATACACACCCACTAGTGGACAGCTTGCAGCCGACTGCCTTGTGTGAGTTGAGTTGAGTGCTATTGGATTTTCGGTGTATGTGCGATTGCCTCCGATGGAAGGGCCGGTACGACACCGGCCCAGGAGATTAGATATAAACAGTTAGGATCATGTCGTATTTTTCCAAAGCCGAAATATTCATCAAGCGTAAAAGGACTTTTCAATACGAGACCGTTCGGAACAGACTAGGCTTTGCCCGCTTCCCGAACGGATCGCATCCACTGGTCTTCGGCACCATCGTCGCCAACTACAGCCTTACGGCCATCCTTGTTGGCGCTGCTTTCGACCAGCTTCTTGGCTTCTCCAGCCGACTTGGCGCCAAGGAGTGCCATTTCGTGACGCATGAGCGTGGCTACAGCTGCTCGCACCAGGACCGCATCGCCCTCAAAGACGTAGACGTCCCACAGGCGAGCGGCTTCGTCCATAGCCAAATGCGTGGTTCCGAGTCCCATGAAGAAGTTGCCGAGGTAGAAATCCGCGTCACCCTCGGAAATATCTTTGGTCAGGTGCTCGTGAAGGCGGGGAGCCTTGACGCTCAGAGTCTGCATCACGAGGTTGTAGGCTGAAGCCTTCGCACCGGGATCTTCTGAGTAAAAGCTCAGAGGCAATGGGCGATTCAGGACGTTGGCCAGAGCGATGAAGGTTGCGGACGGCGAGGGAAGGTTCAGTAAAAGAAGGGCAGCGACGGTCTGCGAAGTGAGTTAGTTCATGATAGCACTCCAAATGATATTTGTGAGGCTTGCGATGGACTTACGTTGCAGCCCTTGACGTAGCCGATATCGCTCCGGTACAGCGCATAGGCGAACAGGACGTCGACGAGACTCTGGTGAAGGGGCCCGCCAACTTGGAAAATTCGAAGATCCTGCCATGTGTGTTCGGCCACGTCTTTGCGTATAGCTGATAGCCATGCGGCTCTCTGGATATCCTCCGAATCGCCCTTGCCAGCCTTGACTCGCTCCTCAAGCTCCTGGGACCGGCCGAGAGCGGCCTTGTAGGACTTTTCCGAAAGGCCAAGTTCGTTGCCAATGGCCCTGGACCATACCTGACCTCTGCTGCGCGGAGCGATTCCCTTCCACCACAGCTCACGGGTGCGACGTTCGCGGATCGCGTCGGTCCATCTCGGAATGATGTCGTCCTCCCAAATATGCATCAAGCTGTCGACCTTCAGATCGCGTGAAGACTTCCGCGCGAGACGCGAAGCCTCACGGCGACGATCTGCCTCGGCGCTGCGTGCCATCATCTTCTTGTATTCACGCAGGTGACGCTTCTCTTCCGCGGGATCCTTGGGAGGAAGCCATGATGGTCTGGTGCGGCTGAGCACAGCCTCCTTTTCCTTGGAAACTGGAAGTGGGTCGATCATGATATTGGTTTGACTCCGGAGTGAAGGAAGTTCGGGAAGAGCGGACTTGACGCGGGGCTTCTGGGCGTGTTGTTCGAGAGATTTGCCATTCCACGTGTGACGTCCTGTAGGGTTGGCATTTTCAGCGGCCTTTTCACGCACATAATCCGAGTGCTCCTCGAGCTTCTCCGTCAAGTCCTTGGCATCGGCATTGAGTTCTGCCAGTGCGAGATTCCAGCTTCTGGCCCGAGTCTTGAGCGGTTCAGGCCCACGTTCGCCAATCGAGGACAGAGCAGTGTCGGACTTCCACGACGGTGAACGCAGGCATCCCGTCTCAACTGGGATTGGAGATGTTCCGTTACCAACGCTTCGAACACGTTCCTTTGGCGGCCGGTTGGGAGATGCTCCAGAGGAAGTTGGCCTGCTCGGCGTGCGCTCAAGCTTGGGTCTAGGAGAGATGGGGACATTGTCGAGAATGAGGCCGTCGGGAATGTCGTCCGTGTCATCCTCGTCGCACTCTTTTTCCAACTCAAACGTGGATTTTCTGTCTTGGTTCGACTGCCAGCTGCCCCGACGCGGTTTCAGGGGCACATTTGGATCTCTCGGCAATAGTGAGAAGTTCGGGCTCGGGCTGCGGTTCTTGCGAGGGAATTGAAGGGAAGTCGTCGAGTGGCTCGCGAAACCTCGAGGGTTTACCGGGTTCACCGGGCTTCGACGGGGATCGGGAAGGCGGCCAGCGCTTGGGCTGCGGCGGTTGAGAACGTGGCTGTCGGTCTTCAAGCTCAGGAAAGGGGGTCGAGAGGAACCGCGAGAGTGGGGAGCGAGGTCTGCCGTGGGACCTGAGCTTCTAGGCTTCGCGAGGTCTCGTGTCACTGGCGGAGAGCGGGAATGGGGTGGTTTCCATGACGGAGGGCGGAAGTCGTTGGCGTAGGACCTCGAGTAAGGTTGAGAGGGCTTCGAATGGGACTCGCGAGGGCGTTGTGTATCGTAATGAGAAGCATCGTCGTCTAGACCGATTTCTTCAAAATGGCTAACGTCGTCCAGGACGCTATTGTCGTCGGAATGGAAGGACTTGAAGGAAGAGGACTTTGACGACTTTGAGGACGTCATACCTGGCGGTGAACCTGGACTGGGACCCGCGAGATCAACGTCTTGATGCCCGTATATCATCATTGCATCGCCGAGTATCGAGGAGAAGGGAAAGGAAGGAAACGAAAGGGAGGAAGAGAAAACAAGACAAAAAGCTTGTTTGGCGGTATCTCTGGTCGAGATTGTCGTGGCCAGGCCTTGGAAGGACGGGGCAACAGTCCAGAATAGGGTGGATGGTGGAGGGCCCCTTGGGCAGGTTGCTTGGGATGGGTCTGGGTGCGGGTTGGTGGAGCAAGGGAAATGGGCCAGGCTATGCTGTAATGATTGCTGGGATCTGGGCGTTGGAACCTTGAGGTGGGAGAGTGGTTGCGGGTTGCGCGGGTGGTTCGCAAGGCGCAATTATGCGTAGCAGGCAATCCCTGGCTCAGGGCTTGGCTGGTGCTTGGTCGTCTTGTCTTTTTGACGAGGGATGATGAGACGAGACGAAGGCAGACTGTCTGTGGGGAGAGACCCCTTGATGCTCAGCGTGTGCGAAAGCCCAGGTGAAGTGTCTCGAAATGGCTGGGATAGTGACGGCGGGGGGGCCGGTTGTCAAGGTCACAAGACGTGTTGTATCGACAGCACACAGTGACGGGAGTATGCGTCGTCAATCAGGACAAGATGAGATGATGGCAGCTGAAAGCGTTGACCTCGGGTTCGGTTATTGATATTGTACGGGACTTGTTGTATGGTATAATACGCGATGGAAGAAGATTGTGCGTGTTGACGGTTGTTGGTGCGGTGCGGTGCGGGCGAGTGAACGAATGTACGGATACGGATAGAGGAAACAGCGATGTAAAGTCCGTGAACGGCGACAATCTAGCGGTAAGAAGAGCGGTAATAGTTACTGGTGCGGTATGTCGAGGTCTAAGGTATGGATGCGTTGTTGGCAAGGTGAGGTAGCGAGCGACGGCATGTAATAGTGTATGAAGACCCGGACAATAATGCAGAGGTGTCAATTGATAGGCACGGACGGGATAGGGCTGGAGGGGTGAGTGAAACGAAAGGGATCCAAAGAATACTAAGGCAAGGTAAAAGTAGCGAGCGTGGGATGATGGATGGGATGCCAGATGAGACTCGAGGTAGGTAGATGACGAGGCGAGTCCAAGACTTTCGAAATGGCAGAGGATCAAAAAAAAAAAAAACAGATGATGGGAGATGAGGAGGGGTGAAGACGCAATGGGCAATTGGGTAGAGCCGAAATGACGGCAGATTGGAGAGAGCAAGCAAATGAGCGGCAAATCAACGATGAGTTGAGCTATGCATACAGCAGACAAGAGTGAAGTAAGCAGGGACAGGGAAGACAGCGGACGAGACAGGACGAACAACCTTCCGGCGGTGTTGTCGAAGAAAAAACCAGGGCAAAACGGGGCGAAAGGGGGGGAGGGAAAACAGGATCCGATGCAGATGCCAATGGGGAAGAATCAAGGAGAGAGAGAGAGAGGGACGGGATAGGGATCATGGATGGGAGGAGTTGGAAGAGACACGGAGACTCGCGGTTGAGGGAGAGCCTGAGAGGTGGTGGACGTGGAGAAGATTTTCTTCCCCTTTCTGATTGGGGGCGGAGATGTCGGCGGTACCTGGACGGGACGTATCTTTTTTCCCCCTTCCTTCCTCACTTTCCGCAATGCAAAGGTCTCTCCTCCCAGGTATTCCGTAGGGTAGATACCTATTTACTCACCTTGAGGTACTATCTGTGAGGTACCTACCTATCTCGATAGGTTCTATTTCCACAACGGGTACGTACTCTGCTAGTGGTCAAAACGACTGCAGAGCGCAATGTCCGTGGTGCATGTACACAACACTAACATGGTCTATGAGAGAATACTCCTTCCACAAATCCCAGAAATCCCGACTCCTAGCAGCGTGATAAACAAGAGTTGCAATCATGATCTCAGTTTATGCAGGCGGCAGATTGGACGAATGCAGGCTGTGTCAAAGTGGGTGTGGTAGCCCTGGATCATCACTGCAGCCATCCAGCTGGGAAACCGAAGAAAAGAACAGGCTCTCTGGCTGCAGAACCTCGCGCGAAACATGGCACCGCCAGGAGACACACACACACACACTCACAGTCAGTCGCAGTCACACACCAGCACTCGACCTCATTGCGAAGCTGCATGGGAGGGTGGGAGGTTAATCCTGGACCTTGAACCACTCAGAGGCCGCCATGGCAACGGGGAGACAATGTCCTTGATCCACCCGGACATTGTCAAATATCAGCATGCAGACAGCAGCCGTGGTCTGGCCCGACATCCAGGATCACCTTACTCGAGAGTCGAGTGAGCTCTGAAAGATTGAGCTTCTGACATGGAGAGAATATGCACTGTCAAAATTGGCCAGCTGTGCGCAGGCTGTCAATCCAACTGTCGGTCTGCACTCGGCAGAGGGCAACAATCAAAAGGAAATGGAAAGGAAATGCTGCAGACAGTGGCCAGATGAGTCGAGAGTCGAGACCTCCAAATCCGCCCACAGCTGCAGATGTAATTCTCGCTTAGGTACAAGATCGCAAGTACCGCCCACCGGGGACTCCACCCACGTCAATCTGGCTCGGGTCCGCAAGGATACCTCCCCCCGAGTACCTCCACCTCTCGCGACTCAGTCACTCGCCAGAGTCGACAAGACGCACACTACCTTACTTGCACCAGTAACATCGCATCTACGGCACCCACAAGTCTCTCAATCGTCAAAAAAGTTGTCGGGTTCCTGCCTGCTCGCCATGCCCATCGCCGCCTGTCCAGCTGTGATTGTCACCACACTTCAGCTGAGATCAACGGCCCGGCGTCGAACCAGGCCCGGGTTTACTATCGGCCGCCCTCTCACTGCCTCACTGGGACCCATCGGAGGTCCGATCCACTCATCTCCCGTCTCCAGTGTCATTTCCCGTCCCCTCACTCACTCTCATTGCACCTGAGACTCTGAGTGAGTGCTCACTCTCACGCCGCAAGTGCCGCTCCCATCCACACTCTCACTCACTGACCACTGCCACTGCCACACACACACACACACACACACACACACACACACACATGTCACTCACAGTCCACACCTCTGTGACATGACACTGAGTTCATGCACGTCTTCCTCCCTTCCTTCTCGGGTGCTTACCTAACAAAACCTCAGACGATGGTCGAGCACTGTCAGACTCACCACGAACTGGAGGGCACGTCAATTGAAACGCCCCGGCCGTTTCTGATTGTTTCTCGCGCTGAGGAGTTTGGAGGCCTGCCGTCATTGCACATCATCCAACTAACCTTATCCTGTGATGCGACGGTTCCTCGAACACGCCTCTTTTCTTCTCTCCCTCAAAATTGTTCAATGCCGTCGCATTTCACCTCATCCGAACAGCGAGTCCGCAACGCGAGACGTAGGTGCCCTCACCATCGGTATCGTCCATCTGGATCGGCTACTCATTCGCGTCTGATACGACCTTGGGCATAAAGTAACCGCCGCGATGACCTCAGTAAGCGCCTGCACCAAACACGACCAATTGCCATGACGGCATCGTTTCCTCGGCTCACTCTCATTAAGGTAACTTCTCGTCCTCAACCTCTTCGAGTATATCTTTGCAGTGTCAGTGCACTTGGCTTTGGTCATCCGAAAGCAACGACACATGATTATTTTGGCCATCTGTCCCGGGCACAATGACGTCCAGCCAGCCGCAGCACTTTCATCCCATCTTCATGACCCGAGTCATCATCACCCGCCCTTATCTTTTCGTTGGTAACGTAGGGCAAAAATATCATGAAGCACGGCCTAGCACATGCTGAGAAGACCCGCGAAATGGGTCATAGCTGTCGGCGACCTCGGGGTCGTCATCAACACCAAAGTTTCTGAAGCTCCTGAAATTCCTGGATTCTGGCCCCAGCCTCCTCAGAAACAGTTGAATGAAAGCTGCCTATGCTGACAGAACCCAAACTTCTCGGCAAGTGCCTTCCAATGGTGTCGATAAGCGCTGCACCAACCCGAGCCAGGCGCAACGCCGTTGAAAGGGTTACTGCAGACCGCCAGCGCTTATCCGTACTTGGTTCTATGGAAATCGCCGCTAGAGCTGCCGGCATCGCGCTTCCCCATCTGGCCTAAGAAAAAAATGTGTTGGTTCCTCATGTCTTTCGCGTTGCGGTGGCTGGAAACCACTACCGACCGAGCTCCCAAGACGCGAATTTCAAGGCGTCTCTAACGACTAGCGGGACACGTTCTCTGCATGTGCCAGCTGTCCTCCGTGACGTTGCTGATGCATGCAGGGCAATGGGCTAGTCACTTCACCACGAGCTGTCAGAGTCGGCCACCGAAACTTGCATTGGCAGGAAGCAGCGCCTTCGTTGAGGGATTCAATCCATCTCTTGTGTTTCTGGTGAACAACGAATCAGCCTACATGTTCGCCATATTCCAGAGCAGTTTGAAGTGTTTTAGAGTATCCCGCAGCATCAGCATTGATAATTATTGGCCCTGGTCGACGACCTACTTCATGGCCGTACCCAGTAGTGATGTTTGACGTTATCTAGACATCAATCCTAGCTCGCAGTGTTGGTCACATTATCAGGCTACCAGTCAGCTGTCGCGACATCGTCGCCAGGGCCACGGTAAATGGGATTACAGGCACTGCCAGAACCTCTCAGATGCGGCTCTACTTGGGCGATAATGACAGTGATGACATCAAATATGAGACATGCCTGGCCAAAATTCCATCCAAGTCTCGGAAGCAAGTCGATCAAGATTAGGTTGGCGGATGGCACAACAATCAATTTAGGCGCCTCATTCTCGTTCTTCTTTCTTTTTTATACAATGCTATTAATAACCAAGTATTGCATTCCCCATGCCCCGATCTAGCCGGTTCACAAGGCAACTCTCCCAATTGATGCGTGTGTCTCACCAGTCAGAGCACGAATTCAGCAGATCTGAATCAAAAGGTCATTTACTTCTACTGAAGAATTCTGTGCGACAAAATACTTTTGAGATCTAGCTTAGTTGGCCGGGACCCTGACCTTGATGACGATCTGCGGGACGAACTGGGCCGAGCGACAGATGTGTGTGGTGTGTGTGCGCTCCTCCACCATATCCGTGGTCGTGATCCAGGTATGCAGTCTAATAGAAAGGAGATCCTATGTTCAATCTACCCAAATATCGAAGTCCATGTTCCCGGTGACACCGGAAAATTCGTGGTCGCTGTCTCGCGGGTGTTTGTACTCAAACACTTCTCTGCGACACGGAAAAACTCAGCCACACCCCTTCGCGACAGTCACGAGATCTGGCGTGCGCAGCCTCAATCATCGACATGGGCTACTTGACAACACTTCAGGGGCATCTCAAACCCAGCGCTGGTGAGAGATGAGTGTTTTACAAGGACAAAGATCTCAACACCGTAGTTACCGCTGAAACCTGGATGAAGAAAGGGTTGAGACAGACCAACTCCAATGACATTTCTTATAGCTGTGGAGCACATCAGTTGAGAGCACATGGCGCGTGCAACGAACGGGATGATTTCAAGCTTAATCGCAGTCAGGTCTCGCAGCATGCGAGAAGCGCCTTCAGCTTTTCAGAACACTATGTGTGTAACTTCACTCATCGTTGGAGGGGGTGCATGCTGGCTGAAGAAGTACTTCAGGTTTATGATGAGCTTTCCGAATTGCAGTGTTTGATCAATGACAGGATGTAAACCCTCATGACACATGTACGACTTACATCGGTCGTATGCTCTTGATCTGTCCCCCAATTTTATGAGCCCATCAGAAGTTCCCAACATCCTTTGCGAGTGCGAATACCACGTGCCTCGTCAATGTTGTACGAAACGGCCTCCTCGGCGAGATCCTGGCCGTCCTCCTCTTCAGCTGATCTGGACCTCTTCTCTCTAGATGTGACGGAGCATGAATCAGTTGGTGGTTGACCAGATACGCGTCACTCCAACTTACTAGGCGGCGTAACTTCGTACGAGCTCTCATCGAATCTCCATCAAGTGACCTCTCCCCTCCGTCTAAGTCATCCGTTCCCGCCTCCGTGCCGCACATTCGCCATCGTTCCCCTCCCGGCCGTCTAGTTTCATGGAAAAGCACTAGATGAAAAAGTTCGCACAACTTTTTGACTCATCCCACAGTATTGAGGATGATGTATGTCCTGGGCACCCGTTTGCTTCTCCATGTCTAGTGTGCTCTGCTGATGCTGGACCCATCGGAAAATGCTCCGCCTCTGAGTATATAATGAGGCAAAGAGTGGTGGCAGGGCTATCAGGTCTATTACTGGGAAGACTGAGGCAGCGGGTGTCCAGAGACGAGAATACTAGGACAAAGGCCGGGCCTTCAAGGCACGATGAGACTACATCTCATTACGGAAACTCGCCCAGGTTGGCGGGACCGGCAGGGACACCTTCCGCTATAGTGGTACTCAGCCTCCGTTCAGACAAGCATTTCGGCATATCACAGCCAGGCCTGCGTGCAGAGACTGAGTAAGATGAGCCCGAGGTCTGCCGCTCCGTGCCACATGGTCGAGCCCACGTCGGCTTCGAAGCCTTTCATCCCAACTCTCTCTTGAAAGTCGATGGTGTTGTGATAGTGATGGGCCCCCAAGGGATCCATCTGTGACATGAATATATAGAGTGGCTTCGGGGCTTCCAGTCTTCCAAGGATGTCTCTCGCCGAGGATTCAGCCGGAGATAGTAGCCAGCCTTTCACCCACCAAGTATACATTATCTCTGTGAGAACCCCCTAATCTTGCGGCAGACCTTGGAAGTGTAGTATATCAACTACTCAGATACACCCTGCCGTTTGGAGCTCAGAGTGAGCATTCGAAACGTGACGTTGTTACTGTTATGGCGCAAGCCCAAGGATCGAAGTGCTACGCTGTTGTAGCTCTTTCACGACTTCGTCAATGACGGCCAGTGCATGTATAAAGAGGGCTCTGGGGGAACCTGTCAACGTCGTGATGTCGAGAGAAATACTAGTGGTTTGTCTTCCTTTGTTGACGGGATTTCCGATGGGCAGTTGAAGAGATGCGTCTTAAATGGAAACGGTAGTACTTGCTAATGTTTTCGAAGGAGTTTCAATAGTTATTGTCGACCGGTAGGACTTTCAACGTTTCGGTTGAATGACTCTTATGGCTCTCGGAGGGTACTACCTTACAGCCGTTCTCACGTTCTGTCTACTTCTTAGTAAGAGAAGAATAGATCAGACGAGATGAGAGGGAGGACGTGGCTCAATGGGGTATTCTCATCCTTCTGGATAGTTACGGGAAGCAAGCATGGCGTCAATTACATGAGAGGTTGCTTTCACCAAGAGCCCTCCGCGCAGATTTCTGGGTAAAGCTGGTCAGCGACAGAGGCTTTTGAACAAGAGACCGCGGTCAAATGTCATCAGACAGAATTTACCATGTTGTTGTTATTCTTTCAAGTTGAAGGTAAGTGTGGCTCATTGGTACTTTTTGGGCCACTTGCTTAACAAACTCTCATTTCCATATGGATAGGCAGTGTTATCCATGAAGTGAAATCGTAGACGATGATCTAATAGTCCTTGACAGAAGTTGAGCATAGAATGGCAAATGGCAGAGGGAGATTCGGAGGGAATGGCAGTGCTAGAACAATAACCTCTGACTAATGAGTGAGATGCTGGTCAATAAGACGCAACACCAGACCGATTTCCAAATCAGTGAGAACGGCATGGAGTGGTGAACCACCGGTACGGTTGGTAGAACCCTTATATTGGAAAGAATCATCAATGATCGGAAGATTTTGGCACAAAAGTGACACGATAGAAGACAATGTGGCGCTAGATTTGATGACATTACCATTCAGCCATAGAATTGAAGTGACTAAATCGAGAGTAGATGTGAGGCCAGAGAATGAGAAATCATACTCAACTCGGCACATCTGACATCATATCCCACCCTGTGTGCTGCTAAGCCACGTCCGTCTATGATAAGGAGCAAAAGGGAGGTGTCTCTGATCCTTGAGGACGAACGCTGGCGATATTCCGACATCGCGGATCTCCGAGAGCAACCGTACGACGCGCATGCAATGACAGTGACATTCACACATCTGCTGGAGTAACCGGCCGGTTCTACTACTTCTTGGCTTAGAAGGGTAGCGAACTGCGGGCTGCAGCATGCATATCTGTGTGAAAGGCGGCGGCGAAGACAAACTTGCCACAGCCTCGGCGCATGAAGCAGAACATCGTGTCAGTCGGTTGGACTGCGTCGAAAATCATCGGGTTGCTTCGGTTTTGACGATCTTGAGTTTTGACCCCCGTTCTCGGTTAAGTTCCTCTAGAACCGGTCCAGCCACCGTACTTGACTTTCCACCCCTTTACCTACTTGTTTGGGTCTGAATACACTCTTATCATCGGTAACCTGAGCCGATCCAAGAGTGGCACAGTACGTCAGGGTCGAGGAAGGCAAGAGACTGGGGGGTTCGGAGGGACGTGGATGTCATGTGCGTCTGTCTCTGCAATACCACAATGGTACCAACCAGCCGGGTCTACTTTCCTGGATTCACCTTCTTTTGCTTCTATATGTCCAGAGGAGACAGTGACAGTCTCTTGATAGGTACTGGCAGAACTCGCTGTGCAGCTCAGATGCCACGGCGCCTGATCAAAGCCAAGCAGCATGTGTCGTTTATCAAGCTCTCGTATACCACAAACTCGTTGCAGTGATACATGAGCAAGGGGCTACACAACTGGTGGCAACGACTTCGTCTTATCTGTTGTCTCGACCGACGGAGAGTTCATAATCCGTGGAGACTTTGCTGGCTGGTGTAAGCATCAGCTTGGGGGTGCCATTCAAATGGCTGAGTGTTGCAGAGCGTTTCGAGCGACGGCGGTATCCTGTAATCATCTATACATGTCAGTAGATTTTGACTCTGATACCACCAGACTGCATTGACACCGTACAGCTGTACGATACCGAGGTCCAAAGAGAATAGCGTTGGTTGAGACAATTGGACGCACACCGCTGCACCTGCGGCGCAGCTGAATGTCTGCGTGATGCGGCTTCTGGGCTAGAATGCCACGACTGCTAGAACAGGAAGTGTGCTCCGTCTCTCGTGTAGGTAGGGGTTCGGATTGGCCAGTTCGCAACACGATATGATGGTAGAAATCGGCGAGACTACTCAAGCGACGACCTTCTGTGTAGACGCAACTGCACCCAATACCATCATTGCCGTTTCGTCTCGCGTAATGTTTTGAGTGAAGATCGATGTGGCAATATTGGAAAAGGTATCAAGACGCAACCATCCACCGTATGTCGGCTGATACAACTCTGTCCTCTTGCCTCTCAAATGGACTATTCGGATGTTCCCGCCTGCAGAAGAGACGGTCCACACGGAAATTGTGATGATGGTGGGCAAATGCCAAATCGACAGTCCCCATCGTGGGAATTGGCTCCGTCTGGCGCGGGTCAAGAAGCGTCCTTTCGTAATCTACGAGGTGTCTGCTCCAGAACCCAAGAGCATTCGTCTTCAACCGGCACGCAGGGACGCGGGATGTGGGGCGACACTCTCGAAGTTGCCGCTCATAGTCTGACAAAGTTGACGCCAGGATTGGACTGCATGGAGCTACCTGAGGTAGGAAGCTCGTGGAACGGCTGGAGGGGGCCACTGAGATCAGCTGCAGTAACCGTACCGCAGATTCGTTGCC